TCTCTCTCTCTCTCAAAAATAAATAAACATAAAAAAAAAAGAAAAATATGAAGAAAAGTTTTCCAGGAGTTTTTTGCTTTCAGAAATAGGAATCTGGCATTGACACAGTGATTACCCTCTCCCTTGCCCTAGAGGCCTCAATATTACCTTTATGGAGGAGGGACAACCAGGATTTACTGAGTGCCCATGATGGGCCAAGACATTTTGCTAGAAACTTCACAGACACTATCTTATCTGTCTCAGAGCTGACTTAGGGTAGGCACCATGATCCTCACTTAGACTGAGAGAGCTGGGACTCAGAATACACTGCTTTCCCTAGCTTCTTTCGGCTAGGAAGACAGTGGATTTGAACTAAGTGGTCTGATCCTGAGCTTATTTCCTTATTCTCTGTTATCCGAGGACACAGTGTGCAGAGACCCCAGTCCCTTCATGGAGCCCTGGGTCACTAGCCAAAAGGCCTTTTGCTGACGTGAGATCTCCCTTTGTTCGGTGCTCACCAGCCACTGGTGCTTACACAAATCATTTTGTTTTGTTTTAAATTTTATTTACTTTGTGGGGGGGGGGGGGAATTCCAAGCAGGCTCCTGAACTCATGAATCATGAGATCACGACCTGAGCCGAAACCCAGAGTTGGACGCTAAACTGACTGAGCCACCCAGGCGCCCCTACATAAAGCATTGTGTAAGGTGAGGATTTGGTTGAATCAAACGAAATGACTGTCTTTGTAGGTCAAAACAGTTGAACACTGGCAATTTCAAATGGCTCCAACTGATACTATGACCCCATTTTACAGATGAGCAAATTGAGCTCAGTGGCGTTACCTTGTCCACTCCTACTTCCCACATTCCAGGAGAGTTGAGTAGAATCCTTTCATACTTCGTGTCCATTGTTTAGAGGGGGGATAAAAAAACCACCTTGTTTAAAGTCATACGTGTCATTAGTGACATGACTAGGATTCTAACTCAGGCTTGGCAGTCTACCCCATTCCACATCTTCATTTCAATGTTTTGTTTGAATCTCCTTTTTTCAACAGAAGAGTTGAGGCCAAACACTGTCATTGCAAATAGACCTGAAAGATAATAATTCCTGAGGGCCACAGGAATGGTTCTGCCCACCCCCTCCTGGTGTGGCCGGCATTGCTCACTGCCGTTGAGTGAGCCCACATTTACCAGAAAGGGGAGTCCAGCAGGAGTGGAGGTCTCTGCCTTCACCTACCGTGAAAGCAGCTGGGATCTGAAACAAATTCACTGACCTTAGTAAAAAATTAATTTTACACCCTAGTTATCTCCCAGAAATGTTGAACTTTCAAGACACTTATAATATAAAGCTGGTTATATGCATGATTCAAAAAAGAAAAAAGAATCCCCCAAATGGAAAATTGTAGGAATAAAACATTTGAAATAAAATATTCTTAATTTGCTACCTAGTTTTTGTCCTTCAGAGAAAGAACGCAGTGGAAAGTTTTTTTCGTGGAAACCAGTATTATCAGATGAGTATAATTCTGTGGAAAATAAAATTCCTATTCATAGGAGAATATCCCAGAGCCTGAAGTTTCCACATTTCCTGAAAATTTCCATGTTTGCATATTTAGGCCTACTTATATACCATTTCTAATCCTGTTAGGTTATTCAAATTTCATCTTTTTTTAAAAAAAATGTTTATTTTTTGAAAGAGAGAGAGAGAGCGAGCATGAGTGGGAGAGGGGCAGAGAGAGAGGAGGACAGAGGATCCGAAGCAGGCTCTGCGCTGACAGCAAGGAGCCCTATGTGGGGCTCGAACATTTGAACCATGACCTGAGCCAAGTTGGACACTCGACTGACTGAGCCACCCAGGCACCCGTCAAATTTCACCTTTAAAAAAAGTGTTGGGGCACCGGGGTGGCTCAGTCAGTTAAGCGTCCGACTTCACCTCAGGTCATGATCTTGCGGTTTGTGAGTTCGAGCCCCGCGTTGGGCTCTGTGCTGACAGCTCAGAGCCTGGAGCCTGCTTCAGATTCTGTGTCTCCATCTCTCAGCCCCTCCCCTGCTCATGCTCTGTGTGTCTGTCTCTTAATAATAAATAAACGTTAAAAAAAATTTAAAAATAAGTAAAAAATTTTAAAAATGTGTTGAAATAAGTACAAGAAGACTTACCTATAAGCCAACAACTATTCAGTAATTGCTGAGATGAACTACAACCTGAAACAAAGCTCCCCTCATACTGTTCATGTTACTGTATGAAAGCTTACAGCTCAAAGTCTTTCAGTATCTCCACGATAACATTCCAAGTCTTTCCCTACCTCTGTCTGGGCTTCGGCATCAACACAGCCATTATCTCCAGTAACTACTTACCAAACGAAATGCTATTCTTTCTTCAAGGGTGATTCAAATCCTGCCTCCCCAGTTACTATGTGTTTGTCCACACCCAGATCCTTTAGCGCACCACTGGCATCCATATTATGGGGCTTGTTGCCTATAACAGCTATTCATGTAAGGGTCTGGCTCCCTCACTCTACTGGAGTCTCAGGTACGCCCACCATATTATGTTCCCCACTTCACCGAAGGGGCTCAGTAGGCCCAGTGCACTGAAGGATATGTATACTCACTATCTTGCTATGTTCTCATGGGGCACACATGTTAAACAACCCCACAGAAAATACTACAGTGAAATAGAAGGGACAGGAACAAGCTAGAACAGGTGCTGTTCTGAGGCTCCTCTGAAGATCCCTGTTAGAACAGAGCTGGGCCCAACTTCCTCTGGAGGAAGCTCCATATGCCTTGTACCTGGCACATTCCAGAGACCCTCTGCCCTAGTATTGCAGGACAGAGGCTCTCTCTTGCCTTCATGCCTTCCTGGTGTGAGTGGTTCAATCATGGAGGAAAGGGGAACAGATGAGGCAATATGGTTCTAGGCCACAAACAGGAAATTGGTGAAACAGGGGAAAGACAGTAACCAACTTCCTTCAGTGGGACAGGTGGCAGTAAGAGGCAGAAAAGGAGAAACTGTGACCTTTAACTGCTGTACACGTTCCTGTGTTTTCTGGCTCTTCCCTGGGAAATAAACTGGGTGGTATAATTTAAAGGAGAGTTAGCTACCAAAATTACCTCCCTGAAATTAGACTAGTTAGAGAGTCACTGGGGGGTAATCCGCAGACTCCCACACAGCTAGGAAGCAGGCCAGGCATTTCTACCTCAGGGAGAAGGTGTTTGACCAATTTGCTTTCCCAGCCTTATTTTTCCAGGGGTTCACTTAGGGAATAAGACTCTTAGTGTGGAAAGAGGTAACTGGGGAGAATCTGAGGTAATTTTGAGGCATGAGGCACTTCGGTGGAAGGGTAGGCCTGGATGTGGTGCCACGCTGCCCAGGGAGGGGGCTGAGCGACAGTCTCGGGGGTGTGTGTTGGCCTGGGGGCACCTACAGCAGCTGTGGAGGACACCAGCGGGTTTGGTCTGGAAATGAGGGCTTCGGGTCAGGCAGCCCAACTCAGGAGTTATATGGCCTTTCATAGCCTCAGATTTCTCATTTGGTGAGAATACAGGGTTCTAGAAAGCATGGGAGAGAATAGGTGCAAAATGCCTTGTACAGTAAGTGGTAGGTATTATGTTTAAGCCACTTTTCTGTTGTGCCTAACGTCAACTGGACGTCCTGATCCAGACGCTGTGAGAAAGTCATTCTCTCTCTTTCCCAGGTCAAGGGCTGCCGCCCTTTCACTCGGGGATCCCTGCCTGTTACGGTCAGATGAGCTACAGAAGGACGGGTCCTGGAACAGGGCCAGTGCCTTGACTGCCCTCGATCACTGGACCAGCCTCTTTCCCGTATCACCCATTTGCTGTAGGGCCGAGGGTCGAGCCTGGCAAATAGAAGGTATGTTTGAAGGGGCTTGTGAAGTTGCCAGGTGAGGCCTGCGTCCATGCCCCTGACTCACCTTATCAAAGCCCCTGACTCCTCCATGCAGACTGTTGGGCCCATTGTTAACGGCCAGCTTATACTCCTTCCCGTCCACCGTGAATGTTCCTTTGGCAATTCGGTTGGCCACCCTGCCAACCACTGCTCCAAAGTAGGGCTGCTTTTGGAGGTACCCTGCAGGGACATGGGATGAGGGACATGGGATGAAAGTGTTTTTTAAAACTTCAAACCAAAGGTGAGGCTCACGGTGCTGCCCACCACTCTATTCTTTCTTTCTTTCTTTCTTTCTCTTTCTTTCTTTCTTTCTTTCTTTCTTTCTTTCTTTCTTTCTTTCTTTCTTTCTCTTTCTTTTCTTTCCTTCCTTCCTTCCTTCCTTCCTTCCTTCCTTCCTTCCTTCCTTCCTTCCTTCCTTCCTTCTGAGAGCACACAAGTAAGCAAGGGGCAGACAGAAAAAGAGAATCCCAGGAGAGGCAGAGACAGAGAAGTAGGGCTTGATCCAAGCAGGGCTCATGCTCACCCGATGTGGGACTTGAACTCATGAACCGTGAGATCATGACCTGAGCAGAGGTCAGATGCTTAACGACTGAGCCACCCAGGTACTCCCCCCACCCCTCACTTTCTTCTGAGAGAACCTGAAAGTAGTAATAATTTAGGCATATCCAAGCCCTCAGGGAAACACAGAAAAATGGCTGGCTTTACACACAAACTGTCCCCTTCCAAAAGTAATGCATGCTCCTTACAAACATTTTGAAAGAATTTATAAAGCACAAAGAAATTAAAAAAATTTTTTTAAATGTTTATTTATTTATTTTGAGAGAGAGAGAGACAGTGCAAGGAGGAATGGGACAGAGAGAGATTATCTCAGGCTGGTTCCATGCTGCCAGCATAGAGCCCAATGCGAGGCCTGAACCCACAACCTGTGAGATCATGACCTGAGCTGAAGTCAAAAGTTAGACACTTGACCAACTGAGCCACCCAGGCACCCCAAAACACAAAGAAATTTAAATCATCCCAGTCTCATCACTAGAGAGTACTACTGTTAATATTCTTATGTACATATCGCCATCTTTTATGGATATATGTGCTTTTCTTCTTCTCTTTATAAAAATGAAGTCTCAGTATACATGCTGCTTTGCAATCTGCTCTTTTCTAGGCCAACTTTTTAAAAAAGTTTAAAGAAAGCAAAAAAACCTCCCATTTGTTTTTCACTCAGAATTCACCCTTGGAATTCTATCCCCCTTTCTTATGGTTCTTTGCATCCATCCCATCTGTGTTGATAGAAGAATATGCAATTCGAGCCTATGAACTATTTCTACCATGCCTGGAAGGGCTCTCAGGATATAGACTCTTAAGCATTCACCCAGGCTCCCGTTACTCAACTGGCTGGGCATGAGTGAAATATTAATCATTCTCTTCCAGGTCTTTCCTGGCTCACTCCCTTGCAAACCTGTAGGTCCTCAGAGTCCTACCCATGGACTATCATAACATCTCACACCACGTTCTTCCTAAGACTCAGCCACTTTCTAACTACTCTACATCTAACTCATTTCATCTTCAGGATACTTCTATGAGGTAGACACTATTATTACCCTCATTTTACAGATGTGGAAACTGAGGACAGAAAAGTTGAGAAACTTGCCCCAAACACACAGATCGTTATCAAAAGAACCTGGATTTGAACATAGTCTGGCTCCTAAGTTTTTGTTCTTAATATTTATTTACCTTTGAGAGAGAGAGAGAGACAGAGGGAGAGAGAGTGAGAGAAGAGCAGAGAGAGAGGGAGACACAGAATCCAAAGCAGGCTCCAGGCTCTGAGCTGCCAGCACAGAGCCTGACGCAGGGCTCGAACTCATGGACTCTGAGATCATGACCTGAGCCAAAAGTTGGGCGCTTAACCAGCTGAGTCACCCAGGCGCCCCAAGGCAGGGTTTTATGTGTGTGTGTGTGCGTGTGTGCGCGTGTGTGTGCGTGTGTAACTAGACAAGATGATTCTAACCTTGCTGTGAAAAAGCAAAGGGCCAACATAGTTATACAATTTTGAAGAAAACAAGATGAGTGATTTGCCTTATAAGATCCTAAGACTCACTAAGTTAAGGCAGTGTGGTGCTGGCCCAGAAAGACGAACAGACCAATGGAACAAAAGAGACAACCCCAGACAGGTCCTGTACCTATGAAGACCGATTTGTGACAGAAGTGACACACAGATCCATGGAGAAAGAATGAAACCAAGAGTCAGACTCTTAACCGACTGAGCCACCCAGGCGCCCTGTGGGTTCTTGTTCTTAAGCATCACCTTATTTGAAAACGAGGCTTTCTGGTGAATTGCGCTTACTACCATCTCTTAGAATAGGCCAGA